TTGGAGCTTTCTAAGCATGGATGGGTATGGCAGTGGGGCTCCTCATCACTGCCTGGCCCTGCCTAGCCAAAGGGCCATGAGCACAATACTCCTGAATTCAAAAAAACACATCTTTCCTGCAATTGCAATCACCGAGTCAGTGTGGGTATGGGCAACATTTGAACAACGGTTAAGGGTTCATCACAGCATCCAAGCCATTGGAGTCCTGACCACAAATGCTGTCATAGTTTTCCCGGGATAACTGGTGGTTTAAGTATCCAGGGCCTGGAATAGACTCCCCCCAGAGATGTTTTCCCAGCTGACTTCCGGCCTGTGGCGGGGGGACTGTATTCGATGATTTCACGTGGTCCCTTCCAGCCCCTAATGTCTATGAAATGTAAGAAATAATCTACGAACATACAGAGTTAAAATGTCCACACAATACAAGGCGCAGTGTCACAGACTAGGAGGCACTCTCCCAGAAAATAAGGCACCACAACAGCCAATTATCTCAAGCTTTCCCAGGGATAAGCTGCCCCACAGCCAGGGCAGCTCCCCTCCCCTGTGGCAATCCCTTCCCCAACAACTCACTGCTCCAGGGCCTGGATGGGTGGTCCTCATCCTCTTGGCTGAGTTGCTCCTCATGGGCATGGCCTCCCAGGCCACTGGCTCCCCTTGGGCTGCCGATCACAGGTGGCCCAGCGCACCATCGCGTGCCCCGAGGGCTCTGCCTTGGGCTGGGGGTTGGAGGCCCTGGCTGCCACGTGTGGTGCCTGGGTGGGCTGAGAGGGCAGCTGCTGCAAGCCCTTTGGCTGTCTGCTTGGGGCGTGTGTGCTTCAGCCAGGCTCCACTCCATGCTACAATCAGCCATTACTGATCCCTCATCCTCCTCAAATATGAAAAAGGGACTCAGAGGTACTGTGTAAATGCCAGAGGGAGTATTTTCCAGGGGCCCAGGCCAGGAGCCAGAGGTGATCCAGCCCCGGGCACCCGAGGAGCAAGTAGCTCTGCCACCTCCTGCCAATGTGGGGTCTCAGACAGGGGTCCCAGCAGGAGATCGAGGGAGGCAAATCACAGACCAGAAACACATACACATGTACACACACACAGCTGATCTTTTCACCACCTCTCCTAGGCCAGGCTCTGGGCTCAGCCCTTTATGCAATTCCCATGGTGAATCCTGGTTCAAGTAGCCACCCTGGGGTGCTCAGCTCCTAGGAGCCGAGATTCCCTCCTGGGCTCTCAACTCCCTTTCTGTAGCAACATGACTGCCCTGCTCTTCCCCTGATTCTTCTGGCCCTGGCCCTGGCCCAGGCCCTGGCCTGCCTGAGTGGGCAGAGCGGGAAGCAGCTGCAAGGGGGTCTGAAGGGTCCAGCCAGGCTCCCCTCCATGCTCTTATGACCCATTAGTGACCCCTCCTCCCCCCAGATAGCTCTCCCATAAATAGAGAGCTACAGCATCTTGCCTATAAGCAACAGCGAGCGTCTCCCAGGGATCCAGACCAGGGCTCAGAGTGGACTTGGTCACAACCAGGACAGGCCTGAGGAGACTCCTCAGGCCACAGGGCTCCAGCTGCTCAGGCAGGGCCTGGCCCAGAGCCCCCTGGAGCCCAGGGCCAAACTCCTCCGGAAAGCCCCTGGCTGGGATCCGGCCCATGTCCTTGAGAGTGCAGACAGGGAGGAAGAAGCTGCAGCAGCAGCTCTGCCACCTCCTGCCCGTGTGCGGTCTCAAGAGGAAAGGGGCCAGAAGGAGATGGAGGGAGGCACATCACAGGCCAGAAACACATACTCGCACACGTGCACATGCATGCACATAGAAATGCTTTTTAACCATCTCCCCCAGGCCAGGCCCCTGGCTCTTCTTTTTATGCAAATCCCCGCTGTGAATTCCTCTTCAAGTAGCCATCCCGGGACACTCAGGACCACTGCTCCCAGGGGCTGAGCTTCCCTACAGCTGCTCTGGCTGAGAGCTCTGGGATCTGAAGGGAAAGCTGGGGTTACCCACTGCACCAGGGACAGCTCGGGGCCTGTCACAGCCTCTGGGCGTGCGAGTGACTGCCCACAGCCCTGCCTTCAGCCCAGGCCAGCTTCCCCAACACCCTTACACCCACAAACAGCCCCCATCCTGATGCATCATCACTTGCCACTTCAGCTCCACCTGGGCAGCAAGATCAGCCCAGCATCCCCCAGGCACCATGGGTCACAGCGCATCATCCGCACCCATAACAACTTCCCCTTCCACAACCAAAACTGCCTCCAAATTGTGGGCACAGCTCTGGGCACCAACATGCCCCCATGATGCCAACCTCTGCAAGAACCACCAGGGAGAAGGACTACGAATGAAAAGCAGCCCCATCCCTCTACAGCACCTTCATGATGGAGAGGACATTGGCATCAACTCAGCTGAAAATCCCTGCACTCACCTGCTGCCTTCCTGCGTAGGTTCA